GAAAAATGGGGATTTTGGGGTGAGAAATGGGGATTTGGAGTGAAAAATGGGGATTTTGGGTAAAAATGGGGATTTGGGGTGAAATAATGGGGGTTTGGGGTGAAAAATGGGGATTTTGGGGCACTTATGGAGCTCAAGATCGCGGATTTCGGGTGGTCCGTGCACGCGCCGTCACTGAGGTGGGATTTGGGGTGAAAAACGGGGATTTTGGGGCATTTATGTGGATTTGGGGTGAAAAATGGGGATTTTGGGGCTTTTGGGGTGAAAAATGGGGATTTTGGGGCATTTATGGGGATTTTGAGGTGAAAAATGGGGATTTTGGGACTGAAAATGGGGATTTTGGGGCATTTATGGGGATTTTGAGGTGAAAAATGGGGATTTGGGGTGAAAAATGGGGATTTGGGGTGAAAAATGGGGATTTGGGGTGAAAAATGGGGATTTGGGGGCACTTATGGAGCTCAAGATCGCGGATTTCGGGTGGTCCGTGCACGCGCCGTCACTCAGGTGGGGATTTTGGGGTGAAAAACGGGGATTTTGGGTGAAAAATGGGGATTTGGGGTGAAAAATGGGGATTTTGGGGCACTTATGGCGCAGGTTTGATGGATTTCTATGGGATTTTTTGGGGTTTTTTTCCAGATTTTTTTCTGGGCTTTTTTTTTAACTCCCAGGTGAATTTGTGATGATTTTTAACCCCTCAGGCGCCGCACTCTGTGTGGAACCCTCGATGATCTGTGGGGTTTTTTATAGGATTTGATGGATTTCTGTGGCGTCTTTTGGGATTTTTTGGGGTTTTTTTTTATTTTTTCAGGTTTTTGGGGTTTTTTCAGCTCTTAGCTGAGTTTTTGATGATTTTTAACCCCTCAGGCGCCGCACCCTGTGTGGAACTCTGGATTATCTGTGGGGTTTTTTATGGGATTTGATGGATTTCTGTGGCGGTTTTTGGGATTTTTTTGGGGTTTTTTTTGGTTTTTGGGTTTTTTGGGTTTTTGGGGCTCCCAGGTGAATTTTTGATGATTTTTAACCCCTCAGACGCCGCACTCTGTGTGGAACTCTGGATTATCTGTGGGGTTTTTTATAGGATTTGATGGATTTCTGTGGCGGTTTTTGGGATTTTTTTGGGGTTTTTTTTGTTTTTTGGGTTTTTTGTGTTTTTTCCCCTCTCATGTGAGTTTTTGATGATTTTTAACCCCTCAGGCGCCGCACCCTGTGTGGAACTCTGGATTATCTGTGGGGTTTTTTATAGGATTTGATGGATTTCTGTGGCGGTTTTGGGGATTTTTTCGGTTTTTTTTTTGTTTTTTGGGTTTTTTTGTGTTTTTTCCCCTCTCATGTGAGTTTTTGATGATTTTTAACCCCTCAGGCGCCGCACCCTGTGTGGAACCCTGGATTATCTCCCCCCGGAGATGGTGGAGGGCGGCGGCCACG